CCTGTAAAACCACGGGAGCTTCCAGCTCCGAGAGAGAAAAATGGTCATATGCGAGAAATAGTTCATGGCACTTTGTGCTTCCATCCACGACCAACGGTTTCGCTACTGAAACAGCATAGGCGCAGTTTAGAATGTATCAGAAGAAAATTAAGCTTCATTTGAGAAAAGTTCACCAACATTATATAGAAATCCAATTACCTAGAGGTACACTTAGTCCTGCCTTAGCCACCTCATCAAGGACCGGAGAATGAATGTTCGAAACCACCAGCTGCCTTGGAATGCAAACTTTGCCTACAACATTTCATACCCAGAAAACTAAATGACGAAAAATTGCAGAAGATTACATAAATAGAAAAAGCTATTTTAGGTAACACATAAACATATAATATTGCCTTTCAATACAGAAACTCAATTTTCTGAGGAAAATAAATGTACAGATGAAAGTGAAATTTTAGTTATGGCAGGGCAAGTACCTAAGCAGCCAGGCAATTCCAGATCAGCAACCACCTCAAGCATTGATCCACGAATGTGCAAGCGTTAAATTGCTTCAGTAGGATCAAGGATTGTCACCTCTGGATGTAATCTTTGATGTAATCAAGGATTGTCACCTCTAAAGGATATAAATTGGACACAATTACACAGATTCATATAGAAACTAACTTAAAACAAAAAATTAAAAATAACACTCGCCAGAGGATATCTGAGCTTATATCCTCGTCCTCATTTTCCTCTTTAGCCGGGATTTAATAATCAGAAAGTGAAAGAAAATCATCCTCGTCCCACAAATGTGGGTGCTTTTGTTCATGGCCTGTCAGCTGCAAAATTTTGACACCCGGTAGGTATTAAGGTTCTAGATGATATCTAACATGCAACTTAAAGAAAAATGAAAGAGATCTATCAATTCTGTGCAGAATTCTAAAGTATCTCAAACTACGTCTGAACTACAATTTCAACACCTAGAACATCAATCTATTCATCATATGAATAATATGAACCCACATCTTCCACCACAACAATTATCAAAACACGCAATTGCTCTTGAAAACACAACAATCGGGTGTTTCAGGCAAACGAATCTAATGAGAGAAATCTCAAAATAAATGAAGCAGCGAAAAAACAGCATGAACTGAAAAGAACAATGCTGCGAAGCGATTTGTTCTCACCCCAGGTTACCAACACAAACAGTGGATTTGTTTGATCTACTTCTGAAACAACTTTGTTAGTTAACTTCCAGCATGCGTCCAGTGGCTCAGCAATGAATAATGTGCCGCATAACCCGGGAACCTTTAAGCACCTCTTTGATTGATAAAGCAAAATCAATTACAACATAATAATAATTAATGAATTCGTATGTGAAGATTTTTCATGCATACCTTCAAATATTTCAAATTTGGGTAAACAAACTGATGATCGATGTTGGCAATTGAACTTTTGAACTTTATGACATGTCGACCCTCTCGTAAGGACTGAAGTGGGTTGAAACAGAAGAACAATGAAAGACCTTAGGGGTGTCCTTACAATTATCAATAGAACCACAAGAACAAGAAAATCACATTTAAATTGAAAATAGAAAGCAGAGTACAGGAAAAAAATCTAGTCTTAGTTTCTTATATGATACTCGGAAAGCATGACCCTGGCCGCCTCAGCAACCCGTTGCTGTCGGCGGAGCTTCTCCACAAGGTGTTTTTCGAGAGTCAGATGAGCTGCCTGCTCTGCTGACTCCGCTGTTCGATCATCCTGCGTCGCCGCCATTCTTTCCCTGAAGCCTGGCCGTGAAAAACGCTGTAAAAAAAATGGTAAAGAGATTTAAGATTCCGTTGAAGATAATCGGCTTCTGACAATTATAAGATTTCCCCTCGGCAAAAACCTCACGAACTACTTTGGTCGGCCTCGATTTTGACCCGTCGTTGGTGTAGTCGGGCTCTGACAACCAGCTAAAGAGCAGGCCACACCCGTCGTTCGATTGCGTTGCTGAGTACTTCAAGGGACGTCAGCTGCATGGTGCTCAATCCTCTCTTTGTCGGGTCGCAGCAGACCTCTCCGTCGTCGTTGGCAGTATCCGCCTCCGTGACCTTGACGTCACTTGCTTCGCCGAATCTGCCGTTTGATCCACCTGAATCGCCGCCTATCTGGGACGGAGAGTTGGTGGTAGGGTTTTAGAGATGAAGGTTATATGGAAGAGAGTGAATTTTTGTATAGAGAGTAGAAGATGGAGAGGTCTAGGTTGTGATGGGAGAAGAGAACGGATTGAAGATTTTGACCAATTTTGTTATTAAGCCACCGCCTCACTTTTTGCGTAGTCAACCGTAAATTGAAGCAATCACATCAGTGAAGAAGGTGAAAAGTAGATGCAGAGTCCACACAATTCATGGAATCACGTCAGAGTGAAAGTTCAGAAAATCTTGATTTGGGAAAGAAAATCCCAAGATTTCCGGGAAAGAAGAAAACGTCATAGAAGAAATATTTAAACAATACAGGAAACAAAATAAGCCATAAACAATACATGAAAAAAAACAGCAAAAAACACAAATAAAAGGGACACGTGTCAATCTCTCAATAGCATTAAAATAGACATGTGTCGGCGTAAGAAGCATTCTAACTCTTCCATATAAGATATAAGAGAGATATTGGGGTTTATATAAGCATACCTAACATATACCGAACATATACAGAACATATACTATTTTCTGGAATTATATATGTATACCGAACATATACTATTTTCTGGAATTATATATATATATATATATATATATACCGAACATATACCGAACATATACAAAACATATACTATAAATAATTTCAGATCTAGGCGTCGAGTTGTTCATAATTCTCATGAATTTCATTCAATTTCGATATTCACCCGGCATCCCCCACCACTTGATTCTTACTTTCCACCGCCTCTACCTTCCCCTCCTCCACCCCGCCGCTGCCACCGGCGGTAGCGATATCCGAAAACATTCTCTACATCTCGTTCCTCTCCATCTCGCCTCCGCCGCGACCGCCTCCAGGAAGCCCCAACCTCAACTCCGTTTCAAATCTCAAATCGCTTTTCACCATTTTTTTTTCGTAGATGATGAACAAACACGAAAAGAGCTTTTTCTCTTTCTTTTATTTTTACTTCCTATCGATCGAAATTAAATTAAAGATTCGACCTTTATGTGTGTATGTGAATGAGAAAAAAAAAAAGAGCCAGATCGAGAGGAGTTAATTGGTCGGAAGAAGAAGAAGAAGAAGAGAGAGAGAGAGAGAGAGAATGGAAAAATAAATATGTTTGGAAGGTGATAAATCACTTTTAATTATAGAGACTTAATTATATGGTAATTTTGCAATTATAAAGATGGAATCTTGTATATTTGTTAATATTTACAATGAAGTTTCATTTATGTAATTAAAGCTGATATATATTGTATACTGTGCAATTTTTCCAAATATAAAATGATCTTCTAAATGAAGCAAAATGTGTAGCCATGAAAAAAGCAAAATGCACAGTTTATAACACAAAACAATAAGATGATCTCTTATATAACCCTTGCCAACAGTAGTTACAAACTCAGGACACACACTTTTCACCATTAGGATTGAAAAATCCTGACCTATTCATAACAAAGGCTAATAATAATCATATACATTACTTAATCCATCTAAACAAACACTGATATCCTTCCTTTATTCGACCGTTAACCTCTCTTCACCCGTATCATTCATTCATCGAACACGACTCGGATAGTAGAGTATATAAAGGTAATACACAAAAGAAGATGATCCGAAAATATAGCACATGGACCGATTTTTTTTTTTCTTTTTTATATATATATATACACCTATACATAAACACACATGAGCTTGTCGAGTGTGGAGTCCATTGTCTCGGACAATGCTTCAAAAAATGCCGAGTCGCTCATTTGTGGAAGCAAAGAGTCGTTAGCCTCACCAACAATCTCCTCTAACACCGATTTCTTGTTCAGATTTTCCCTGCACATGATGCTACCTATTTGGAACGGCGTAAGGCCCCTCACAGCCCCTTTTTTCAGAAGCATGGTGGAAATTCGGAGCGTTCGGGTGGATTCAGGCGAGAGTTTTAACCCATAAGAGTTGAGAAGAGATATATCTTGCTCGGCATCGAGTGATTTGATGTAGTCGAGTGTTTCTTGGGAGAATGGTTCACGTGCTTGCGGCCAATAGAGCCAGTCGAACGTGCAATCCTCGAACTACATAAAAAAGTCGAGAATGTTCTAGATATTTCCATGATCAAACAAAAATACCAAAAAGAAGAAGGGCCATATTATTTACTTACATTTTCAGGCAAGCAATAGCCATGATCGATCGGCACCAACACAATCCTTCCCGTTTCTTCCTCATCCCTACAAATCAAGATATTCCCTGCATGCCTATCCGCATTTGCTGTCCTCATATCAAACACGCCAATCTTATGAACCTCAGCGACCGGAAAATCCCTGGGGCCCACATCATCACAGCTCCCTTCATTCTTCACAAACACTTGCAAAGAACCGACCTTCACGCACTCGTCCGACCACTCGAACCCATCTGGGTGGTTAAATCCTCCGTGCAGGCACCCCACCATAACCGTAGGCTGCAAGCCCGCGAACCCGATTTTCTCCAGATCACACGATTTGGACCGAGGGCCGCTTCTCGGGTGGTCCAATAAGTACGCCGCGACTTCCCTAAACGCCCCCTGGCCCACCCGCGTGCCCTTCTTCAAACCCTCGCCGTTCATTGATATCGGCAGGCCTTGAGGATTGTTCTTGGCCAGAGGCTCTTCATCCACCGGCTTAAAAACTGCCGAGTATTTTTCTCCGCAAGAGTCTGGCATAAAGTATGTCCCGCCCGTTCCCTCAGACGACCTGATTGGCTGCTTCCCGCTAGCTAAACCTTCCGAGATGCGCCAGATCATTTCCTGCAGAAATGGGGGTAGGTCCACTTGTGGGCCCGCAAAAATCGGCTCTAAGGTCTTCTTGAAATCGGGAGCCACGACCGAGATCTTGATTTCTTTCTCGATGGGCCTCGTCCGGATTTTTGCGGGCTTCTGCACGACAAACAAGTGAATAATCGGATCTGAACTGTCGGTAATGTCGTGGATCAGCCTGTAGTCCTCCTCGAGCTTCTCCCCACGGAAAAAGATATCCGGTGGGTCCTCGAGACAAAAAATCCGTCCCTTTTTACCCTTTTTTGCGATCCTACGCTTTAAGTACCCTACATTTCTGTGCCTATCCACACGCAACTCAAACAACTCCTTACCGCAGGGTGTCCTAACGCTGATCAACAGGATATCAGATATCCTCAGAGCCAAGTGCACTACATTCCCATTACTTATGCCATAGTCCTTGACATTAGAATCGGTTCTTGATAGCTCCCAGCCCGCGAAAACTAGCTTCTGCCTCTTTACTACAAAACCTTTGCATGTCTGAATCCTAAGTTTGACTGATGCAATGGAGTCCGACTCCATTACTCGCATGGGGATCGAGGAACCCCCGAAAGTGATGTAGATCAAAATGGATTTGAATCGACGGCTGTGATCGAAAGAGACAGCGGATTTTGCAGTCCCTTTGGGGATCGGGCTCAATGCGACATCAACAGCAGACATTATAGGAGTCGATCTATATCACCCACCGGCCACCCCAGATGGTAAATTTTGGATTTTTTTTTTCTTTTTTCGGTTTTCTTTATGTTTGGATTACCTAAAAATCAATACTTTTTTTGTCAGTTAATTTTTTTCTATACCCTAAAAAATCAATGAACCCTATGAAAGAAACAATGAGGAATCATAATACACAATCTTATACAATCACATTTGTCGAGAACACAAGCAATCAATCAACCAAGAATTGATGCAGAACAAAGGGAAAAAAAAAAAATCGGACAACAAAGCAAGGATTTTTCTTACCAGAAAACAAAAACCTGGGAGAAAACAAAATCCAAAAGGGAGCCTGAAAACTGAAGTTAAATCCGGAAAAATGGCATCTGAAGGTGGCCGAGAAACTGCCGAGGAGGAGAAAAAAATCAGCAAATTTTTCGCCTCATTTTGGCTGTGGGGGCTTTTGTTGGATACAAGTAATGAGCAGTAAATTATGGTATGAGAGAAGAGTAGCGATTTACACGCGAGATATTGGAAGCTCGTAAGGGTAAGATTTGTCGCAGAAGGGGACAATGAATGTGTGAAGATGGCCAAAGGGGAGCGGAATTGTAGCCGTTGCCATTGTTATGTGCTTTTGACTCTACCACCGACCTTCTTACTTTGTACTATAATTTATTAAGCTTTTAACGGTCTTTATAAATTTTTGTTTTAATTTTATTTTTTTAATTCCACATGGATAATGTGTAAAAGTAAAAGGGACTTTTGATAGTTAGAGGTATACGAGAGATGGTGTCGAGACTCGACAGTGCTCATTGTGCACTGTTATCGTGAAGTTAATTTTACTACGGACTGCTTGGCGACATTAGCTCACACATGTCTCAATGGTTGTCAGCGACTGCTCGATCCGCCGACAGAAGTCAAACCGTGGTTACCGCATGACGTCTTTGGCGTTGCGTACTCACGGAACATGACTATCTAGAGGCGTTAGGCTCCTGTCTCCTTTCTTTGTACCAAAAAAAAAAAAAGAGACTATTGATAAGTATTACACTATAAGTTAATTTATGATTTATTTAATTAATTTATAATTTTATTTACTCAAATAGGTTTGATTTGGAAATATTAAAAACCAACAATGTGATCTATACAGTAATGATCCCCTATCCACAGTGGCACATGTTAATATGTCCACCGCTTATGTGGCATGCACACATTGGTAATGTATTTTTTTAAACATATTAACGTCACCAATGTTTGCATGTCACATAAGCGGTGGGCATATTAATATGTGCCCACCGTGAGTAGGGGAATATTAGTGGTGATCTATATTTAGTGTCAACTCATATGCATGACATTTATAAAAACCATATTTTTAAATATTGTATTTCATGGAAATGAATATAAATATGGTAAATAAAATTCTTAACACTTTCTACAACTAAAATAGAATTAATAATATTTTGGTTTTAAGTAAATGAATATAAATATTGCAAATAGAATTAATAATGCTTTGTATTTAAAGTAGAACTAATGATATTATCTATAAAATGATTCAAGGAAATTTTAGATAGTCGGAAACAATATTACATAATTTTATAGTTTATTTTTTTTTTTTCAAAATTCAAAATAAAATATATTCTATTTACCTTAGTTATTCTCTTTTAGTTAAACATTATTAGTTCTATTTTACTTGTACAAAGTTTTATTAATTCTATTTACAATATTTGTCTTCTTTACTTAAAACATTGTACTTAAAAATATGATATTTTTAGTTGACATGTATAAGAACTAAGAAGTTGAATTCAATATGAGCCAATGATTAGTACCATAGCAAATTATGAGTAGCAGGACAAAGCTCGCATTCAAAAGTACAACAAATTATAAAATGCCAATTTCATTATTATCACGCTCATCTCGAGCGTTGCTAGTTTATCAAAGTAGCTCGAGCTATAAATGAGTATGAGTTGAATTTACGAACGTCTATTTTCTTTAAATACCCATATTTCGTCAATTGGTTTAACATATTGGATATACACCACATTTCACCATAATCTAACACAAACTAGATACATACAAATCAACTTAATTGAATTCATGAAAAAATTGTGATAAAAATCAACACAATGAGTGTGCCCTGATGAACAGGTGGTGGGGACTGGCGGCTCAACGGCTGCACCGGTGGCGGCATTTTTTAAGCCGGCGGCACAGACGGCGGTGGAACGAGCATATGACAGGGCACTTCATATGTGTAAAAGTAACTTACAACTTGGCATAAATATACATGGTAGAAACAAATTTCAAAAATAAATTTTAAAGTCTTGCAAGTCATAACTATTCACAAACATCATTCCTACCCCTCCTAAAAATAAAATTAAATAAAATAAGATCTATTTTACAATAAAAATTCTTGGCTCACTTCAATTATTTTTTTCTTCTCAAAGTGTGAGGTGAGCTAGCTGGGATTCTTGTGGCTGATGGACAAATTCTCCATCCCCATGTCCTTGAGCCGGCTGAGCTCCGGCAATATAACCTTTGCAAGATCCGGCCTGTCCTTCTTCCTCAGCTCGGCACACTGCAGCGCCAGCTTGGCATACCCGAGCGCCTCCTCGACCGGCCAATCGGGCACAGTCGGGTCCAACAGATCCCCAAACGTGCCC